GTCGTCGGGAAACCCTCCCCCCCCCCCCCCTTTTCAAAAGGCGGGGGGGGAGGTCCGATCCCCCCCCCCCCTTCACCCTTTTGGCCGCCAAATTCGACCCCCCCCCCCTTCCCCCCTGTCGCCACGACGCCCCCGGTCTCCGGAACCCGACCCGTACCACCCCGAACACTAATCCTCACCCTTGCCCTGACCCCTAACCCTAACCCCCAAAAACATTCACTACTCATTACGCACTACTCACTACCCACAAATCACCACCCGCTACTCACTACTCACTTATCAGTACTCACTACTCACTACTCGCAACTCACTACTCACCACCCACGACTCACTACCCACGACGCACTACTCACTACTCCCTACTCCCTGCTCACTACTCACCATTCACTACAAACTGCTCACTACCCACGAACCACTACTCAATGCTCACTACTCAATAAACACAACACTCTACCTACTACTCACTGATCACACATCAGTCCCAACTACCCACCAACAACTACTCACATTCAACTACTTAGTAATGACTGCCCACAACTCACTACTCACTATCCACTACTCGCTACTCCCTACACAGTACTCACTACTCACTGCTCACTACTCCCAACGCCCTACCCGCTACCGATTACGCACTATTCGCACTACTCGCTACTCCCTACTCGCACTACCTACTACTCACTCCTCACTACGCTCCCATTGCTCACTATTCACTGGTTCCTACTCCCTACTCCCAACTCGCGACCCCGTACTCAATACTCACTACTCACTAAACAATACTAACTGCCCACAACTGACTACTCACTGAGCAATACTCGGACACAATAACCACGATCCACTACTTACTACGGAGAACTCGCATTCACTACTCACTACGCCCTGCCCACAAATCACTATCAGCTACTCGCTACCCAGTACGACACATTCACTACCCACTACGCACTATTCGCTACTCACTACTCCCTACTCCTTACTCACTAGTCACTAGTCGCAAGTCGCGACTCACTACTCACTACTCACGACTCACTACTCACTAATCCCACCAGCCCTTTGGGCGTGAGTGGTTTAGGGAGTCCGCTCTGTTCTCAACCCCCCTTCTTCCCCTTCGGGGAGGGGTTTACCCCTCCCCCTACCCCCTCCCCCTGGACCTGGAGGGGGCCTTCCGCGGGTGGTCAGAGGGTCCATTTTCTATCCCTGGGAGGGCTAAAATTCGACACCCCTCACGAGGATCGTCGCCCCCAGAGGGGGGGACACTGAAAAATACTCGCCCCATCTGCGACCGATCGCCCCCAAGATGGCCTCACCAGGCCCCCAAGACGCTCCAAGAGGCGACCCTGAGAGCCTTCGGACGTTCCCCAGAGGCTCAAAAGAGAGCCCAAGAGGCCCCAAAACGGCCTCCAAGAGGCCTCCCTATTGCCTTGGATACGACTACTCCTCCTACTACTACTACTATTCCCACTACTACTACTACTACTACTACTACTACTACTACTACTACTACTACTACTACTACTACTACTACTACTACGACTACTACTACTACTACTGCCTACTACTACTACTACGACTACTACTACTACTACTACTACTACTACTACTACTACTACTACTGCTACTGCTACTGCTGCTGCTACGACTACTACTTCTACTACTACAACTACTACTTCTACTACCACTACTACTGCTTTAACGACTACTACTACTACTATTTCTACTACTACTACTACTACTACTACTCCTCCTTCTTTTACTACTACTAGTACACCTACTACTATTCCTACTACTACTGCTACTACTCGTACTACCACTACTACGACTACACGACTACGACTACGACTACGACTACGACTACGACTACGACTACTACTACTACTACTACTACTACTACTACTACTACTACTACTACTACTACTATTACTACTACTACTACTACTACTACTACTACTACTACTACTACTACTACTACTACTACTACTACTACTACTACTACTACTACTACTACTACTACTACTACTACTACTACTACTACTACTACTACTACTACTACTACTACTACGAGGGGCCCGAACGACTCGCACCAGGACGAGGTGCCCGAACGCCTCACACCACGAGGAGCCCGAACGACTCACACCAGGACGAGGGGCCCGAACGACTCACACCACGAAGAGCCCGAACGACTCACACCAGGAGGAGGGGCCCGAACGACTCACACCAGGACGAGGCGCCCGAACGACTCACACCACGAGGAGCCCGAACGACTCACACCACGACGCGGGCCCCGAACGACTCACACCACGAGGAGCCCGAACGAGTCACACCAGGAGGAGGGGCCCGAACGACTCACACCAGGACGAGGGGCCCGAACAACTCACACCACGAGAAGCCCGAACGACTCACACCAGGACGAAGAGCCCGAACGACTCACACCACGAAGAGCCCGAACGACTCACACCATGAAGAAGGGCCCGAACGACTCACACCAGGACGAGAGGCCCGAACGACTCAAATCACGAGGAACCCGAAAGGCTCACACCAGGACGAGGGGCCCGAACGACTCACACCACGAGGAGCCCGAACGACTCACACCAGGAAGAGGGGCCCGAACGGCTCACACAAGGACGATGGGGCCGAACGGCTCACACCACGAGGGGCCCCAACGACTCCCACCAGTCGTCGTCGTCGTCGTCGTCGTCGTCGTCGTCGTCGCCGCCGCCGCCTTCGTCGTCGTCGTCGTCATCGACGTCGTCGTCGTCGTCGTCGTCGTCGCGGTTGTGGTCGTCGTCGTCGTCGCGGTCGATATCGTCGTCGTCGTCGGGTGCGTCGTCGTTGTTAGGATCATCGCTGTGGTCGTCGTCTCCGCTAAATCCCTCTTGCCTCCCACCGCTTTCTCTCCCTCCTCCTCCGCCTCGTCCTTCTCCCGCTCCCACCACAAGGAGGATGTACAAGGAGGCGGGAGGAAGGAGGAACAGGGGAGATATGCGGGGGCAGGCGGAAACACGCCTGAAAAACACGACTGTCGGCATGCTTCGCAAGAGTTGCTGTTTTGAGATGGGCTGGTGGGGATACGCGAAGCGTGAAGAATTTCTTTTCGCTACTCCCTACCCGCTACCCACTACTCAATACCCACATCTCGCTTCTCACTACTCACTACTCACCAGTCCCTACTCACTACCCACAACTCACTACTCACCACTCACTCCTCGCTACGCCCTACTCGCTACGCACTACTCCCTACTCACTACTCGCTATTGGCTCCTGACTATTCTCTCCTCACTACTCACGACTCACAACGCCCTACTCGCTACTCGCTACTCACTACTCGCTACTCGCTGCTTCCTACTCGCTACTCCCTGCTTGCTACTCGCTACTCGCTACTCACCACTCACTTATCTCTACTCAATGTGCACCACTCACTACTCACTACTCACTCCTCGCTAGTCGCTACTGTCTACTCCCTCATCCTTACTCCTTGCGTACTACTCACTATGCACTGTTCACTACATACCATTCAATCCTCACTGCTCACTACTGACAATTCCTTTCTCACTATTTCCTTCCCACTACTCACTACCCACTACGCACTACTCATTATTCATTGGTCTCGACGCGCTACTCACTACTACCCCTACCCATTACCGACTATTCACTACTCACCATTCACGACGCACTGCGCACTACTCACTATCAAATACCCACTATTCACCAATCGCTATTCGGAACACTCCACTCTCTACTCACTACCCGAGAGGCCCCCTCCCCAGCCCCCTGTTCGGCGCAAAGGGGGGGAGGGGGGGGGTTCGACCCCCCCCCGTTCCAGCGCCAAGGGGGGGAGGGGGAGGGGGGGTCCGGACCCCCCCCCTTTAAAAGGGGAGGGGAGGGGGGGGAGGGGGGGGGGGGTCGAAAATCTCACCCTTCCTTTGAAGGGTGGGAGGGGGGGGGGTTCTGCGAGCACCCCCCTCCTTTTGTGTATTCAGGGCCATCCACTGGCGCGCTTTCAGTAACAACAATAGTAATCAACCTTTCTGGGTTATGGGCGAGGGGGTTGTGGTAGAGTAGGGTTTGAGGCCCAGCTCACACTGGATGTTAATGAATTCTCCTGCGGTTGATCTACGTTCTGAGTGCGATTTGCAACCTGCCAGGCGCAGTAAAGTGAGCACAAAGACCTTGTTGCCTTGCCCAATTATTACGTTCTCTTCGTCCTCCTCCTCCTCTTCCCCCTCTTCCCTCCTGCCGTAAACGACGCAACGCCTAGGTGGCACAACGCCTATGTGGCATTCTTTCGTCTTGCCGCCCTGCCTCCCTCCCATCTTCGCCTCATCCTCTCCCTCCCTTCTCCCCATTCTCCTATTGCTCTTCACCAAATGCATTCCCTCATGGGCCACCTGCGTCCCCATCCTGTCTTGTTATCCATCCCGCTCTTCTGCGATTGCCATCCATATCGGTCACCCTCCTCCGCGTTTGGCCTTGAGCAAAGCTATCGCCCGCAGCGAAAGCCAGCGCAGTGTGGCAACTGCCTCCTGCAGGATGGAAGATCAGTTCCAGCAGATGCTGCGCGTTCAGCAATTGCAAGCCATGCAACAAATGCAACACAGCATGCAACAGGCACAAGCTAAGGCTGTAGCCGCGACGCCAGATGCCGCGGACAACAACAAGAAAGACAAAATGTCGACATCATCTGTTCCAACCATGAAACTGCCCCGTGTCCGCCTGGCAGAAGCAGTGGAACGCGTCACCTCGCTTGATGGTGCTACCACGACAGACGTGAACCAAGAATGTCTCGCTGTCATCTTGTGGTGTTTCACCCGGGTGAAACCCAACGTGCAATGTACCAAGCTGCGTGCAACTACATACGACGACTTCTATGGTTGCCTGAAGAAAGCAGCTGAGCGAGTGAAGGCGCACGATGAGACCGCGTACCAACGCACCCTGCACGCGTTCCAGAACGCCTCCACCATCTCCAACATTCTCGTGATGGAGGAAGCCATCAAGCTCGGGTTCGACCCCGCGTACATGGAAAAACAGAAAAAGAGAGGTACACGCGAATTTGATGAGACCAAGCAAACGTTGGCCGAACTGTTCAAGAAAAAGAAAAGCGACGACAAGCAGGTGCAACAGCAACGTCAGCAACAGCAAACGCCCTTGTCCTGCGCCAGCAGCGGTGGCAGCGGTGGCGAGCCGTCGGTCGGCTCACAGGCTGCCACGCACGCTCTCCTGGAGAGCATGCAGTCGCAACACAACTTGCTCGCAGAAATGGTCTCGAAAGTTGGCACGGGCGGCGTCGGCAGCCAGGGGCGCCGACCCCGGGCACATCAGGAGCCCCTGCTGCAACTGACCGACGGTTCGGTGGGGCCCAGAGCGGCAGCGCAGCCAGGACAACAGCCACAGCAGGTAACCACGAGCCCAGCGCGCCAGCACCTGCAGCCACAGGAAGCACAACAAGCCCGCCAGCAACCGCAAGAGCCACTGCGGACCTACCAGCCCGGGCAGCAACAGCTGCCACCGCAGGTCCAGCACCACGCCGACGCAGAGCCCCCCCAACAGCAGCACGAGCCCTTGCACGCCCGCGAGCAGCCCGACGGGGGGCAACCGCAGGCGCAGCAGACGCAGGAGCCACAGCAGCCCCCTGAGCAGGAGCATCCCCAGCCGCAGTCTTCAGAGTACGACGAGAACAAGTGCGCGTTCTGCCAGGACACGATTGATCCTCACGGGGTGGGCGACAGTGCAGTCGAAGCGTTGCCCGTCGACGACGACGCCACGCTCCTGGACGTTGATTGCGACGTCCTCGCGGTCGACGGGTCGCGTGCCCTGAGCGAGGCGAACCTGGGTGTCACATGCACGGCCGTGAAGGCCGAACTGAATTCAAGTATGGTTCTCGAGGCGGGGAAGCCTCCCACTGATGACGAAGCTGACCCACTGCTGGGTGGCGGCGACGGGGGTCGCAAAGGGGGTACGAATGGTGCGGCTGTGACCAGGGCTAAGGCGTCACAAGCATCCCTTTCTTCGTTGATGACAATGATGCAGCTTCAACTTGATCGACGCTGAAGAGCATGATCGACGCCTACACTTCTCGAGCAGCTCCGATGACAGCTGCTCCCAAGGCCAGCCCCCCGCCAGCTCGCACAACTCACAGGTTGTGGTCTTTGGCTTGGAAGGGGGTTTCATTTGTTCCAGCATCCTCGATCAAGGACAAGTTACTGGCAGGCCCTGCAGTTGCGACTTGTCAGAACGAGACCGAGCTACGTCGTGCACAGGAGTGGAAGAGAGCAACGGGAGCTGATCATCCACTTACTTATGTGATCTTCGCCAAGAATGATGGGTTGCAGTCTTGGGTTGAAGAGCCCACTGCAACATATTCAGATGTATTGATTGATGGGCCGAAAGGCCCGCAGCAAGTCAAAGCTTGGATTATTTCAGATGGTGATGGTGCGCCTGAGAAGGCGACGCTACCAGCAAACTTGAAGGACGATGTGGAGAAGCCTATGAGGATCACCACGTTCAATGCCAGACTCACGATTGCAAGGTCCTATGCTGATGGGGAAATGTACGGCAGGGCTCAGAGAGACCCTCTCTCATTACCAGCCTTGGTATTCGATTCAGCGCAGTGCAAAAGTATTCTGAAAGTGAAAGGGGCCATAGATTACTCAACGGAGGTGACCTGCGTGGTGATCTTGAAAGAAGAGTCCCGAGCCACACTGATGTCAGCAGTACTCCCAGCTGGTGTCTTCTTGACTGAGCAGCAGTCCAAGAAAGTGCCCCGCTTCGTTAAGCAGAAGGACGATGAGGATCCGAAGGTGTATTACCGTCGTGTGCGGGCGCTGGCCGACGGACAGGCCGCAGGAGCTCGCCTTGTATATCGTCCATCTATTGATTCGCCCATCGGCATCATGTCTGATAAAGCTTCTGTGGCAGACCCGTCCTCGATCCCACCGAGATGGATCGTCACGCGAGGCCTCGACTCATGGTCCCACCCAGAGGACCTAGAGGCCTGGGCCAAAGCCAGAGGTTTCCAGAATATCCAAGCTGTTTCCAGAGCTGGAGTTCGCAAATGGTTCTTTCGTGGAGATCTTGAGGGGGCTTCGGAGCAGAGCGCCTTCGCCTTCGCGTCGGGCGTGCTGGTGTCGATGGTCATCAGGAACGCCACCCCCAAGAAGAAAGGAGACGGTGCTGCCAAGCCCAAGTCGGCATGGGGCACACCTCTGCCCAAGCCACGCCTGGGCGAGGACGACGACGCCGACGACGGCGAGGACGACGACGTTGTGCTGGAGGAAGCTCCTGCTGCTGCACCAGCTGCTGCGGGTGGACCTGCAGCCGCAGCCGAGGGCGCAGCTGGACCCACCGCCGGCCAGAAGCAGCAGGGGCCCCCGCTGGCCGCCAAGAGCATCAAGAAAGTGAAGGTCACCTCCATCGAGCCCTTCGCTGAGTTCGCCGCTCGTCAAGAGAACGTGGGAGGAGGAGACTGCTTCCCGATCGCGTTGGGCTCGGCCTTGAATGATCTGAAGCCGCAGGCAAAGCCATTGTCTGCCGAGGATGGTGCCGTTGGAGGTCGTATCCCAGGTATTGTACGCTGTTTGGTATCCAAGGAGATTGCCAAGAACCCCAAGACCTACAACCTCGAGAAGGGGGCGGATCTGATCACGACCCTCGCCACGAGTAAGACGATGTTCAATAGTATTGGCGTCTTGGCAGCAGCTTTGGCGACAAAAACTGAGATACTCATATGGGCAAAAGCAAGTGATGGTCATTGGATGTTGTATGGGCCTCCGCCGCAGTTCGCGAAGAGACTCAAGCAACAAGTGATGATGGTGTTGGAGAATAAGCATTATGAACGTCTGGTGTTGAAGAAGCCAGTCGATGTAGCAACTATGAAGAAGTGGAAAGAGGCTATGTTACCATATCCTGTCAACCTTGAGGGTGGCGGACGCAGCTCGGCGTGTGGTTCGACTACGACGAAGAGGGCACGTAAGGCCCTTGGAGTCCCCAGCTCGTCAGCATCCTTGGCGTGTGGTTCGACTACGACGAAGCGGGCTCGTGAGGCGCTCGGAGTACCAGCATCAGATGATGAGTTGGACGAACCTGCGCTTCGTGAGCCTGGAGACCACTTGAGGTGTCCCACGTGTGGCTGGCGACCGACGCCAGGCACGTCGTCCAGCAAGCAGAGGTCCGAGGCTAAGCGTCACTGGGGTGCTTGCCGAGGTGAACCTCCACCGCAGAGCGAGCTGAAGCAGTGGGCCAAGTCGGCCGCCATCCGTCGAGAACCAGCCATCGAGTTCGTACTCGCCAGGCAGTGCAGGCGAGATATATTCAGTGGAAACTGACCAAGCCTCCTGAGTACCGTGACGCCTTCTGCGAATTGGACGTCACCCAGGCTGCTACGAGTGGTGGGACGAAGGAGGCTAAATAATCTTATTTGTGTACCAGATGTGGAGCATATAAGCGGATTTCAAATGCGAAGGTCCAGCCATGCACCAAACGCCCAGTGCGTTTCACCATCAAGCAGCTGCTCCAGGTGGCCGTTGGTGAGAACAAAGGCAAGCAGATCCTGGAGAAGACCCGCGACAAGGCCCTTCGACGGGCCCAGCAGCGGCGAGCCCAGCCTGCAGTGCATGACGCCTGGAAGCAGGCCAAAGCTGAAGTTGCACGTACCAAGTACCGAGCCACCCGTGATGCCTATACGAAGGCGTACCGCGCCACGCACAGGATGACAGCACAGGTGAAAGAGCAGCGACGAGCCAGAGTAGCCGAGAGGCGGACCCTGGATCCCGAGTGGCACAAGAAGATGAAAGAGTACTGGAAGCAAAGGCATCGAGCGAAGAAAGCAGCAGCAGCAGCAGCAGCAGCAACGTCGTCTTGACTAGCCGTGGAAGAGATTACGTACATGCTATTGCACCGATGGAATTGGTTTGGCCTTGGTCAGCAGTTTCATTGTGAGTACCTTCAAGCTCTGGAGTCAATATCGGCGTCAGAGCGCAAGCCCCGTCCACAGGTGCTCCTCGAGCCTGTGCTGGTCGGGCTCACGTCGCCACAAGGCGTTAGAACGCAAGCACGTCACCTTCAGCAAGAGGCGTCTGAACGCAAGTCCCGACCGCAGGTGCTCCTCGAGCCTGTGTGTTGGGCTCACGTCGCCACTCGGAGTTAGAGCGCAGCTGCACCCTCTCCAGCGGCAGGCGTCAGAGCGCAAGTCCCGACGGCAGGTGCTTCTCGAGCCTGCGTCAGTTGGGCTACGTCGCCACGGCGTTAGGACGCAGTCAGGTACAGGCACTACGACGAGATGGACTACCATCTCCTGTGGTGGTGGAGTATTGCGGCTGGACGCCATCACGCGTGGCATGGTACTGAGTATCATACACTACTTCAATGCAGTTTCTGTGGAAAGTTTCACTAATTCAGTTTCTGTGGAAAGTCTCACTAATGCAGTTTCTGTGGAAGGTTTCACCAATGCAGTTTCTGTCGAATGTCCCACTCCAAGTCAAGATCCTCTCCTCGGCGGAGGTTCTGGGAAGCAACCTACTACTCCAGCTTCGGGGCCGTGCAGGATCGCTTCGATAAACGTCGCAGCTTTGACCAGAGCAAGAGCAACAGCAATCTTCAAGCACAAGGAAATCAAGCAAGTTGACATCATGGCATGGCAAGAAATCAAGAACTGGGACCTGCGGCCCAAATGGCTGGTATGGTTGGCCAACAGTTACGGGTGGGGAGTTGCATGCTCACCTCCTCCTCCGCCGTCGTCGTCTGGATCTCAAGGGTGTGGCGGGACAGCAGTCCTGTGGCGCAGAGGTATCGGCAAGGTGACGGTGCAACGTGATAAAGATCTCGATCATCGAGCAGTGGCTGTGAAGACGGCGACGGTGGCCGCCGTGAGCGGCTATGGGCCTGTTCGGGGAGATATAAATTGGGTACGCAGGGCTCTCGACTGGGCCCAGAAGTTGAGTAACCATACCATCCTCGTCGGGGACCTGAACTGGTTCTCTAGATACGCTAAGCTGGTGGGCCCTGGTTGGTCTATTACGTCAAACACGTGCCCTACCACGACAGCTGGTACGTCTCCGTCCAGATGTCTGAGGTGGATGGCTGAAGATAGCGACCCCCCCAAGCACATAGGCACTCACTTCATCGAGGGCGTCCCGCACCACGGCATGTGTATCTTTGAGGTGTCTCAGTGTCCTGTACAGCAACGTCCTCTCACACGCCTTCGGCACACGGCCTTGTACGAAGAGGCCGCCTTTGCGTTCGTAAACGAGCCTGAGCAGCAGCAGATCGAGCAAGCATGTGACTCGATGATCCCGAAGCCTCGTCTCGACATCGGCATATCGACAAAATGGAAAGTATGGCATGCTAGAGCTGAGCACGCACTAGAAGAAGCAGTAGTTCGGGGATGGGTTAAAGTGGCACGTGCAGCTGAACGGGATAAGGGGACATATCCTACCGCTAAACCTTGTGCTCATCCTCCCGCTCATTGTCTTGCTGAGTCGGTTGCCCTCAGACGGTTGCGCCGACTACATAGAACATGTTTGCATCAAGTCCGTGCCCACCAGGGTGCAGGCGCCCGCCTCGACCTGAGGCACATGAGCGCCTACACGGCAGCGGTGCAGGATAAGTTGATTCGGCATCTGGATGGGTGGCCATCGTACGGTCAGCTCTTGGATGCAGTCAGTCGTGCCATCACGTATGAGGAACGATTGGCGGCGGATGAGAAACGCAAACATTGGGGAGCTCGTTTTCGGGAGTGGTCTAATGATCTCTGGAAGCTGGCCACGCCGGTGTTCAAAGCAGGGGCCCCTAGCCCTGGGTTCGACAGCGAGGGGATGAGGGCCGAGTGGGAGCCCGTCTGGAAGCCCGAGTCGTACGAGAGCCAGAACAAAGTAGTAAACTGGAAGCGGTGGGAAGCAAAAGCGAGAGCGGACAACAGACCGATCCCGATGAGTAGCATGCCCGACGACTGGGCCCCAACAAAAGAAGGGTTCACAGCAGCCATCAAGAAATGCAAAGGAGCGGAAGGTATGGACGGTTGGAAGGCCTCGGAGGTCCGCTTGTTGTTGAAAGTCGCCCCCTTCATCATAGATGAGTTGTACATCCTCTGGTGCGACACCACGGCCCACGCGGTGTCGGTCCAGGGGGAGCTCGAGGTTGGGCTCTTGAAGGAGCTTTTCGTCTGGAGGGTGGCTGGGAGTCCGAAGAAGGATGAGAACGAGTCGCGGCCGATTTCAGTGGCGTCAAGCCTTGTGAGATGTTGGCTATCAGCATTAGCAGTTGCTCTGCCGACGGCGGCGGAGAACCAGTATGCATGTAAATCAGGCTTCAGTGTCAGCCACGCTATCTCGGCATGGCTTTCTGTTGGGGCCACAAGAGGGGTAGAAATGGACCTGAGCAAAGCATATGACAACGTGGACCACTATGTAGCAGTTGCAGCGTTACAAGCAGAGAGGGCCCCAGCAGCACTTATCAACATTTGTTTGTGTGCTTGGAAAGGGCCCAGAGCATGCTGTGTGCAGAATGAGTTGTCGTCACCGCTCTGGGTGGCCAAAGGATTGCCTCAAGGAGATTATTGTGCTCCTGGGGCGATGGTCGCGACGCTCACCCCGTGGCGGGCGGAGCCCGCCCGAGGATGGGCATACATGGGCGACCGCTCCCTGACGGCGGGCGGAGCCCGAGCTGAGCAGGATCTTGCAGAGGGTCTTGCTCTGACTCAAGCTTTTGACAACGACGTAGGTTTCGTGGAGAACCTGTCGAAGCGCCAGTATTGGGAGGAGGGGAAGGAGAATGACATAGAGCATCTCGGGGTAATGTGTGATCCCGCCGACTCCGACAAACCGATCAGGCCTCGTGGAGGCTGGAAAAAGCTCGAGGTGGCCGTGGGAGTGCTGAAGGCGTTCCCTGGGGCCGCCGCCGTTCGGGAACGACTCGCCGCGGCCTACGTGAGGCCCCTCTGGCTCTGGGCGACCCCACTGGTCGAGCCAGTCCCTCGGTGGGCCCCAGGGGCCCTCTTTCACGCTATTCTGAGAACTGCAAATACGCGGTGGTGTGCGGGCCGCTGGTGGGCCCAGAGAGTACAGCTGCGTCCGTTATATTCGCCGTGTCTCCAGATCATGAAATCCGTCCGCTCCGAGAACCTGATCCAGAGTGAGTTCTTGAGGAAGGCCCTTGTGGCCCACTATGCACATATACACCATGCGTATATCGATCATAATGCTGAATGGGGAATTTGTCTTCGGGTCCCTCCTGATGCTGACCCTCGAGTGATCCGTGTGACTGCCCAAGTACGTGATCCCCAGGATAAGTTCTGGACAGGGGCCCCAGGTGGGGCCCATGCAGTACGTGCTGTGGCTCGTGTGGCTTGTCTGCGTGCAGTACATCTCACACGAAAAGATGTGGAAGGTATCGAGGACGTCGATGTCGAATTGAGTAGTAGCCAGATATATCAGAGGTACATGAAAAGCTTGAACGCTGACGAGTTGCACAGTGTGACGATTTTTCGGAGTGGTGCTGGTCAGACGTATACTAGAATGCAGGTGAACAAAGGTTGTAAGTGATGCAGCTGTCCGCTACCGAGCCTCAGCCATCTTTTCCAGGAGTGTCCGCACTTTGAAGACAAGAGGCAGGAGCTGGCACGTGAGATGAAGCTGAGTAGTACGTTCTGGGCCACGGTGCCCCGAGTTACGAGTAAGAGTGGCTGGGTATGTTACTCAGCATCGCCGAATTCAGAGGAGAGATCTCGCATGCTGGTGGCATCGGTGCGTCTCGGTGCCTTCATCGTGCGGGAGAATTTCACGCCGACCGAGCGGGTCCAGCCGATCCGCTAGCGGTATTCATGAGGGCCGAGTACTTTGTAATGCTGGTCCTTGCACTACCTTTCTTTCGAAGCATTGCCCGTCGACGACGACACCACGCTCCTGGACGTTGATTGCAGCGTCCTCGCGGTCGACGGGTCGCTTGCCCTGAGCGAGGCGAACCTGGGTGTCAAATGCACGGCCGTGAAGGCCGAACTGAATTCAAGTATGGTTCTCGAGGCGGGGAAGCCTCCCATCCATGATGAAGCTGACCCACTACTGGGTGGCGGCGACGGGGGTCGCAAAGGGGGGAAGAACGGTGCTGCTGTGTCCAGGGCAAAGGCGTCACAGGCATCCCTTTCTTCATTGATGACAATGATGCAGCTTCAACTTGATGCACTGAAGGGGCAGATTTCAGTGCAGAAAAAGAAGAGGCCGCGACAGAACAGATCTACAGCTACTCCGACGCCAACGCACAAAGGCAATCCTGATGCTGGGAACGGAGAAGGACCCGTGCTTGCTCAGATACGCAGTCTTCTGAGGAAAGCAGATGGTGCAAAGTATGCCCCGTCCGACTCTGAGGTGATTGGCACGCTGAAGAGCATGATCGACACCTACACTTCTCGAGCAGCTCCGATGACAGTTGCTCCCAAGGCCAGCTCCCCGCCAGCTCGCGCAACTCACAGGTTGTGGTCTTTGGCTTGGAAGGGGGGTTCAATTTTTCCAGCATCCTCGATCAAGGACAAGTTACTCGCAGGCCCTGCAGTTGTGACTTGTCAGAACGAAACCGAACTACGTCGTGCACAGGAGTGGAAGAGAACAACGGGAGCTGATCATCCACTTACTTATGTGATCTTCGCCAAGAATGATGGGTTGCAGTCTTGGGTTGAGGAGCCTACAGCAACATATTCAGATGTACTGATTGATGGGCCGAAAGGCCCGCAGCAGGTCAAAGCTTGGATTATCCCTGATGGTGATGGTGCGCCTGGGAAGGCGACGCTACCTGCCAACTTGAAGGATGACGTGGAGAAACCTGCGAGGATCACCACGTTCAATGCCAGACTCACGATTGCGAGATCGTATGCTGATGGGGAAATGTACGCCAGGGCCCAGAGAGACCCTCTTTCTTTACCAGCTTTGGTCTTCGATTCAGCGCAGTGCAAAAGTATTCTGAAAGTTAAAGGGGCCATATATTACTCAACGGAGGTTACTTGCGTGGTGATCTTGAAAGAAGAGTCCCGAGCCACACTGATGTCAGCAGTACTCCCAGCGGGTGTCTTCTTGACTGAGCAGCAGTCCAAGAAAGTGCCCCGTTTTGTCAAGCAAAAGGATGATGAGGATCCGAAGGTGTATTATCGTCGTGTGCGGGCGTTGGCCGACGGACAGGCCGCAGGAGCTCGCCTTGTGTATCGTCCATCTATTGATTCGCCCATCGGCATCATCTCTGATAAAGCGTCTGTGGCCGACCCGTCCTCGATTCCGCCGAGATGGATCGTCACTCGAGGCCTCGACTCATGGTCACATCCAGAGGACCTTGAGGCCTGGGCCAAGGCCAGAGGTTTCCAGAACATACAAGCCGTTTCCAGAGCTGGAGTTCGCAAGTGGTTCTTTCGTGGAGATCTTGAGGGTGCTTCGGAGCAGAGCGCCTTCGCCTTCACGTCGGGCGTGCTGGTGTCGATGGTCATCAGGAGCGCCAGCCCCAAGAAGAAAGGAGAAGGTGCTGCCAAGCCCAAGTCGGCATGGGGCACACCGCTGCCCAAGCCACGCCTGGGCGAGGACGACGACGCCGAGGACGGCGAGGACGACGACGTGGTGCTGGAGGAGGCTCCTGCTGCTGCACCAGCTGCTGCGAGTGGTCCTGCAGCCGCAGCTGAAGGCGCAGCTGGACCCACCGCCGGCCAGAAGCAGCAGGGGCCCCAGCTGGCCGCCAAGAGCATCAAGAAAGCGAAGGTCACCTCCATCGAGCCCTTCGCTGAATTCGCTGTTCGTCAAGAGAACGTGGGAGGAGGAGACTGCTTCCCGATCGCGTTGGGCTCGGCCTTGAACGATCTGAAGCCACAGGCAAAGCCGCTGTCTGCCGAGGATGTTGCCGTTGGAGGCCGTATCCCAGGTATTGTACGTTGTTTGGTGTCCAAGGAGATTGCCAAGAACCCCAAGACCTACAACCTCGAGAAGGGTGCGGACCTGATCACGTCCCTCGCCACGAGCAAGACGATGTTCAACAGTATTGGTGTCTTGGCAGCAGCTTTGGCGACAAAAACTGAGATTCTCATATGGGCAAAAGCAAGTGATGGTCACTGGATGTTGTATGGGCATCCACAGCAGTTCGCGAAGAGACTCAAGCAACAGGTGATGATGGTGTTGGAGAATAAGCATTATGAACGGCTGGTGTTAAAGAAGCCAGTCGATGTTGCAACTATGAAGAAGTGGAAGGAGGCCATGTTACCATATCCTGTCAACCTCGAGGGTGGCGGACGCAGCGTGGCATGTGGCTCTACTACGACGAAGAGGGCTCGTCAGGCTCTCGGAGTGCCCAGCTCGTCAGCATCGTTGGCGCGTGGCTCGACTACGACGAAGAGGGCTCGCGAGGCTCTCGGAGTACCAGCATCAGATGATGAGTTGGATGATCCTGCGCTTCGTGAGCCTGGAGACCACTTGAGATGCCCCACGTGTGGCTGGCGACCGACGCCAGGCACTTCGTCTTCTAAGCAGAGGTCCGAGGCTAAGCGTCACTTGGGTGCTTGCCGAGGCGAACCTCCACCACAGAGCGAGTTGAAGCAGTGGGCCAAGTCGGCCACCATTCGCCGAGAAGCCAGCCATCGAGTTCGTACTCGCCAGGCGGTGCAAGCTAGGTACATTCAGTGGAAGATGACCAAGCCTCCTGAGTTTCGTGACGCCTTCTGCGAGCTGGACGTTACCCAGGCTGCTACGAGTGGTGGGACGAAGGAGGCTAAATAATCTTATTTGTGCACAAGATGTGGAGTATACAAGCGGATCTCAAATGCGAAGGTCCAGCCATGTACCAAGCGCCCAATGCGCTACACCATCAAGCAGCTGCTCCAGGTGGCCGTTGGTGAGAACAAAGGCAAGCAGATCCTGGAGAAGACCCGCGACAGGGCCCTTCGACGGGCTCAGCAGCGGCGAGCCCAGCCTGCAGAGCATGACGCCTGGAAGCAAGCCAAAGCTGAAATTGCACGTACCAAGTACCGAGCCACCCGTGATGCCTATGCCAAGGCGTACCGCGCCACGCATAGGATGACAGCACAGGTGAAAGAGCAGCGACGAGCCAGAGTAGCTGAGAGGCGGACCCTGGACCCCGAGTGGCACGCGAAGATGAAAGAGTACTGGAAGCGAAGGCATCGAGCGAAGAAAGCAGCAGCAGCAGCAGCAGCAGCAGCTACGCCAGCTTCGTCTTGACTAGCCGTGGAGCCAGTATCGGTGTTAGAACGCAAGTCCCGTCCACAGGTGCTCCTCGAGCCTGTGCTGGTCGGGCTCACGTCGCCACAAGGCGTTAGAACGCAAGCACGCCACCTGCAGCAGGAGGCGTCAGAACGCAAGTCCCGACCGCAGGTGCTCCTCGAGCCTGTTTGTGTTGGGCTCACGTCGCCACTCGGAGTCAGAGCGCAGCTGCACTCTCTTCAGAGGCAGGCGTTAGAGCGCAAGTCCCGACGGCAGGTGCTCCTCGAGCCTGCGTCAGTTGGGCTACGTCGCCACGGCGTTAGGACGCAGACAGGTACCATCTCTTGTGGTGGTGGAGTACTGCGGCTGGACGCCGTTACGCGTGGCATGGTACTGAATATCACACACTACTTCAATGCAGTTTCTGTGGAAAGTTTCACTAATTCAGTTTCTGTGGAAAGTCTCACTAATGCAGTTTCTGTGGAAGGTTTCACCAATGCAGTTTCTGTCGAATGTCTCACTCCAAGTCAAGATCCTCTACTCGGCGGTGGTTCTGGGAAGCAACCTACCACTCCAACCTCGGGACCGTGCAGGATCGCATCGATAAACGTCACAGCTTTGACCAGAGCAAGAGCAACAGCAATCTTCAAGCATAAGGAAATCAAGCAAGTTGACATCATGGCATGGCAAGAAATCAAGAATTGGGAGCTGCGGCCCAAGTGGCTGGTATCGCTGGCCAACAGCTATGGGTGGGGAGTTGCCTGTTCTCCTCCTCCTCCGCCGTCGTCGTCTGGATCTCAGGGGTGTGGCGGGACAGCAGTCCTGTGGCGCAGAGGTATCGGCAAGGTGACGGTGCAACGTGATAAAGATCTCGATCATCGAGCAGTGGCTGTGAAGACGGCGACTGTCGCCGTCGTGAGCGGATATGGGTCTGTTCGGGGAGATATAAATTGGGTACGCAGGGCTCTCGACTGGGCCCAGAAGCTGAGCAACCACACCATCCTTGTCGGGGACCTGAATTGGTTTTCTAGATATTCTAGGCTGGTGGGCCCTGGTTGGTCTATTACGTCAAACACGTGCCCTACCACGACAGCCGGCACGTCCCCGTCCAGATGTCTGAGGTGGATGGCTGAAGATAGCGACCCCCCCAAGCACGTAGGCACTCACTTCATCGAGGGCGTTCCGCACCACGGCATGTGTATCTTTGAGGTGTCTCAGTGTCCTGTACAGCAACGTCCTCTCACACGCCTTCGGCACACGGCCTTGTTCGAAGAAGCCGCCATCGCGTTCGTAAACGAGCCTGAGCAGCAGCAGATCGAGCAAGCATGTGACTCGATGATCCCGAAGCCTCGGTCCGATATCGGCATATCGATAAAATGGAAAGTATGGCATGCTAGAGCTGAGCACGCACTAGAAGAAGCAGCAGTTCGGGGATGGGTTAAAGTAGCACGTGCAGCTGAACGGGATAAGGGAACATATCCTACCGCTAAACCTTGTGCTCATCCTCCCGCTCATTGTCTTGCTGAGTCGGTCGCCCTCAGACGGTTGCGCCGACTACATAGAGCATGTTTGCATCAAGTCCGTGCCCACCAGGGTGCAGGCGCCCGCCTCGACCTGAGGCACATGAGCGCCTACACGGCAGCGGTGCAGGATAAGTTGATTCGGCATCTAGACGGGTGGCCATCGTACGGTCAGCTTCTGGATGCAGTCAGTCGTGCCATCACGTATGAGGAGCGTCTGGTGGCGGATGAGAAACGCAAACATTGGGGAGCTCGTTTTCGGGAATGGTCTAATGATCTCTGGAAGCTTGCCACGCCGGTGTTCAAAGCAGGGGCCCCTAGCCCTGGGTTCGACAGCGAGGGGATGAGGGCCGAGTGGGAGCCCGTCTGGAAGCCCGAGTCGTACGAGAGCCAGAACAAAGTATTAAACTGGAAGCGGTGGGAAGCAAAAGCGAGAGCGGACAACAGACCGATCCCGACGAGTAGCATGCCCGACGATTGGGTCCCAACAAAAGAGGGGTTCATCGCATCCATCATGAAATGCAAAGGAGCGGAAGGTATGGACGGTTGGAAGGCCTCGGAGGTCCGCTTGTTGTTGAAAGTCGCCCCCTTCATCATAGATGAGTTGTACATCCTCTGGTGCGACACCACGGCCCACGCGGTGTCGGTCCAGGGGGAGCTCGAGGTTGGGCTCTTGAAGGAGCTCTTCGTCTGGAGGGTGGTCGGGATCCCGAAGAAGGATGAGAACGAGTCGAGGCCGATCTCAGTGGCGTCAAGCCTGGTGAGATGTTGGCTATCAGCATTAGCAGTTGCTCTGCCAACGGCGGCGGAGAATCAGTATGCATGTAAGTCAGGCTTCAGTGTCAGCCACGCTATCTCGGCATGGCTTTCTGTTGGGGCCACAAGAGGGGTAGAAATGGACCTGAGCAAAGCATATGATAACGTGGATCACTATGTAGCAGTGGCAGCATTACAAGCAGAGAGGGCCCCAGCAGCACTTATCAACATTTGCCTGTGTGCCTGGAAAGGACCCAGAGTTTGTTGTGTGCAGAATGAGTTGTCGTCACCGCTCTGGGTGGCCAAAGGACTGCCTCAAGGAGATTCTTGTGCTCCTGGGGCGATGGTCGCGACGCTCACCCCGTGGCGGGCGGAGCCCGCCCGAGGATGGGCATACATGGACGACCGCTCGCTGACGGCGGGTGGAGCCCGAGCTGAGCAGGATCTTGCAGAGGGTCTCGCTTTGACTCAAGCTTTTGACAACGACGTAGGTTTCGTGGAGAACCTGTCGAAGCGCCAGTACTGGGAGGAGGGGAAGGAGAATGACATAGAGCATCTTGGGGTGATGTGTGATCCCGCCGACTCCGACAAACCGATCAGGCCTCGTGGAGGCTGGAAAAAGCTCGAGGTGGCCGTGGGTGTGCTGAAGGCGTTCCCTGGGGCCGCCGCCGTTCGGGAACGACTCGCCGCGGCCTATGTGAGGCCCCTCTGGCTCTGGGCGACCCCACTGGTCGAACCAGTTCCTCGATGGGCTCCAAGGGCCCTCTTTCACGCTATACTGAGAACTGCAAATACGTGGTGGTGTGCGGGCCGCTGGTGGGCCCAGAGAGTACAGCTGCATCCGTTATATTCGCCGTGCCTCCAGATCATGAAATCCGTCCGCTCCGAGAACCTGATCCAGAGTGAGTTCTTGAGGAAGGCCCTTGTGGCCCACTATGCACAGATACACCTTGAGTATATCGACCACAATGCTGAATGGGGAGTTTGTCTTCGGGTCCCTCCTGGTGCTGACCCTCGAGTGCTCCGTGTGACTGCCCAAGTACGTGATTCCCAAGATAAATTCTGGACAGAGGCCCCAAGTGGAGCCCATGCAGTACGTGCCGTGGCTCGTGTGGCTTGTCTGCGTGCAGTACACCTCACACGAAAAGACGTGGAAGGTATCGAGGACGTCGATGTCGATTTGAGTAGTAGCCAGATATATCAGAGGTACATGAAAAGCTTGAGCGCTGACGAGTTGCACAGTGTGACGATTTTTCGGAGTGGTGCTGGTCAGACGTATACCAGAATGCAAGTGAACAAATGTTGTAAGTGGTGCAGCTGTCCGCTCCCGAGCCTCCGCCATCTTTTCCAGGAGTGCCCGCACTTTGAGGATAAGAGAAAGGAGTTGGCACGTGAGATGAAGCTGAGTAGTACGTTTTGGGCCATGGTGCCCCGAGTTACGAGTAAGAGCGGCTGGGTATGTTACTCAGCATCGCCGAATTCAGAGGAGAGAGCTCGCATGCTGGTGGCATCAGTCCGTCTTGGTGCATACATCGTGCGGGAGAATTTCACGCCGACCGAGCGGGTCAAGCCGACCCGCTAGCGGTCTTCATGAGGGCCGAGTACTTTGTCATGCTGGTCCTTGCACTACCTTTCTTTCGAAGCGTTGCCCAGTATGTTCAACAGTATTGGTGTCTTGGCTGCAGCTCTGGCAACAAAAACTGAGATTCTCATTTGGGCAACAGCAAGTGATGGACACTGGATGTTGTATGGGCCTCCTCAGCAGTTCGCGAAGAGACTCAAGCAGCAGGTGATGCTGGTGTTGGAAAGTAAACATTATGAGAGATTGGTACTAAAGAAACCAGTGGATGCTGTTACCATGAAAAAGTGGAGAGAGGCCATGTTACCGTACCCTGTCAACCTTGAAGGAGGAGGACGCAGTGTAGCAGGCGGCTCGACTACGACGAAGAGGGCCCGTCAGGCTCTCGGAGTGGCTAGCCCGTCAGCTTCACTGGCGCGCGGCTCGACTACGACGAAGAGGGCCCGCCAGGCCCTTGGGGTACCTGAGACGGATGATGAGTTGGATGATCCTGCGTTGCGTGAGCCTGGAGATCATTTGAGGTGCCCGTGTGGGTGGGGACCGACACCAGGCACGTCGTCGTCAAGGCAGAGGTGCGAGGCTAAGCGCCACTGGGGTGCTTGCAGGGGTGAGCCTCCACCTCAGAGTGAGTTGAAGCAGTGGGCCAAGTCGGCCGCCATCCGCCGAGAAGCCAGCCATCGTGTTCGTACTCGTCAGGCGGTGCAAGCTCGGTATATTCAATGGAAAACGAATCTTGCTCCCGAATTTCGTGATGCCTTCTGTGAGTTGGACATTACCCAGGTCGCTACGAGTGGTGGGACAAAGGAGTCAAAAGAGTCGTATTTGTGCACCAGATGTGGAGTATACAAGAGGATCTCCAACGCGACGATCCAGCCATGTACTAAGCGCCCAGTGCGCTACACCATCAAGCAGCTGATACAGGTGGCCGTCGGCGAGAACAAAGGCAAGCAGATTCTGGAGAAGACCCGAGATAGGGCCCTTCGTCAGGCCCAGCAGAGGCGATCCCAGCCTGCAGAGCATGCCGCATGGAAGCAAACCAAAACAGAAATTGCCCGTACCAAGTACCGAGCCACCCGTGATGCCTATGGCAAGGCGTACCGCGCCACGCACAGAATGTCAGCACAGGTGAAAGAGCAGCGGCGAGCCAGAGTAGCTGAAAGACGTACACTGGATCCCGAGTGGCATGCGAAGATGAAAGAATACTGGAAACGGAGGCATCGAGCGAAGAAAGAAGCAGCAGCAGCAGCAGCAGCAGCAGCAGCAGCAGCAGCAGCAGCAGCTACGCCAGCTTCGTCTTGACTAGCCGTGGAGCCAGTACAGATGTCAGAACGCAAGTCCCGTCCACAAGTGCTCCTCGAGCCTGTGCTGGTCGGGCTCACGTCGCCACAAGGCGTTAGAACGCAAGTACGTCACCCACAGCAAGAGGCGTTAGATCGCAAGTCCCGACCGCAGGTGCTCCTCGAGCCTGCTGGGGTTGGGCTCACGTCGCCACTCAGAGGCAGAGCGCAGCCCCATGTACTTCAGGGGCAGGCGTTAGAACGCAAGTCCCGACGGCAAGTGCTCCTCGAGCCTGCGTCAGTCGGGCTACGTCGCCACGGCGTTAGGACGCATACAGATACCATGTCTTGGGATGGTGGAGTACTGCGGCTGGGCGCTGGTACGCATGGCATGGTACAGAGTATCATACACTACTTCATTGCAGTTTCTGTGGAAAGTTTCACTAATTCAGTTTTCTGTGGAAGGTTTCACCAATGCAGTTTCTGTCGAATGTTTCACTTCAAGTCAAGATCCTCTGCTCGGAGGCGGATCTGGGAAGCAACCTACTACTCCTACCTCGGGGCCGTGCAGGATCGCTTCGATAAACGTCACAGCTTTGACCAGAGCAAGAGCAACTGCAATCTTCAAGCATAAAGAAATCAAGCAAGTTGACATCATGGCATGGCAAGAAATCAAGAACTGGGAGCTTCGGCCCAAGTGGCTGGTATCGCTGGCCAGCAGTTACGGATGGGGAGTTGCATGCTCTCCTCCTCCTCCGCCGTCGTCGTCTGGATCGCAGGGGCATGGCGGGACAGCAGTCCTGTGGCGCAGAGGTATCGGAAAGGTGACGGTTCAACGTGATAAGGATCTCGATCATCGTGCTGTAGCTGTGAAGACGGCGACCATCGCCGTCGTGAGCGGATATGGGCCAGTTCGGGGAGATATAAATTGGGTACGCAGGGCTCTCGACTGCGCCCAGAAGCTGAGCAACCACACCATCCTCGTCGGGGACCTCAATTGGGATTCTAGATATTCTAGGCTGGCGGGCCCTGGGTGGTCTATTACGTCAAACACGTGCCCTACCACGACAGCGGGCACGTCACCGTCCAGATGTTTGAGATGGATGGCTGAAGAAAGTGGACCCCCCCAAGCACGTAGGCACCCACTTCATCGAGGGCATACCGCATCATGGCATGTGTATCTTTGAGGTGTCCCAGTGTCCTGTACAGCAACGCCCTCTCACACGCCTTCGGCACACGGCCTTGTTCGAGGAGGCCGCCATCGCGTTCGTAAACGAGCATGGGCAGCAGCAGATCGAGCAAGCATGTGACTCGATGATCCCGAAGCCTCGACTCGATATCGATACATCGACGAAATGGAAAGTATGGCATGCTAGAGCTGAGCACGCATTAGAAGAAGCAGCAGTTCGGGGATGGGTTAAAGTAGCACGTGCAGCTGAACGGGATAAGGGAATATATCCTACCGCCAAACCCTGTGCTCATCCTCCCGCCCATTGTCTTGCTGAGTCGGTCGCTCTCAGACGATTGCGCCGACTACATAGAGCCTGTTTGCATCAAGTCCGTGGCCAGCAGGGTGCTGGCGCTCGTCTCGACCTGAGGCACATGAGCGCCTACACAGCGGCAGTGCAGGATAAGTTGATTCGGCATCTTGACGGGTGGCCATCGTACGGTCAGCTGCTGGATGTAGTCAGTCGAGCCATCACGTATGAGGAGCGTCTGGTGGCTGATGAGAAGCGCAAGCACTGGGGAGCTCGGTTTCGGGAATGGTCCAACGACCTCTGGAAGCTTGCCACACCGGTGTTCAAAGCGGGGGCCCCCAGCCCTGGGTTCGACAGCGAGGGGATGAGGGCCGAGTGGGAGCCCGTCTGGAAGCCAGAGTCGTACGAGAGCCAGAACAAAGTACTCAACTGGAAGCGGTGGGAAGCAAACGCGAGGGCGGACAACAAACCGATCCCGACGAGCAGCATGCCCGATGATTGGGTCCCGACAAAAGAAGGCTTCATCGCAGCCATCAAGAAATGTAAAGGAGCGGAAGGTATGGACGGTTGGAAGGCCTCCGAGGTTCGCTTGTTGTTGAAAGTCGCCCCCTTCATCATAGATGAGCTGTACACCCTCTGGTGCGACACCACGGCCCACGCGGTGTCGGTCCAGGGGGAGCTCGAGGCTGGGCTCCTGAAGGAGCTCTTCGTCTGGAGGGTGGTCGGGATCCCGAAGAAGGATGAGAATGAGTCGAGGCCGATCTCTGTGGCGTCTAGCTTGGTGAGATGTTGGCTTTCAGCACTCGCAGTTGCTCTGCCGACAGCGGCGGAGAACCAGTATGCGTGCAAGTCAGGCTTCAGTGTCAGCCATGCTATTTCGGCGTGGCTTTCTGTTGGGGCCACAAGAGGGGTAGAAATGGACCTGAGCAAAGCATATGACAATGTGGATCATTATGTAGCAGTGGCAGCATTACAAGCAGAGAAGGCCCCAGCAGCACTTATTCATGTATGTTTGTGCGCCTGGAAAGGACCCAGAGTCTGTTGTGTGCAGAATGAGTTGTCGTCACCGATCTGGGTGGCCAAAGGTTTGCCTCAGGGAGATTCGTGTGCTCCAGGGGCAATGGTTGCGACTCTCACTCCTTGGCGGGCGGAGCCCGCCCGAGGATGGGCATACATGGACGACCGCTCGCTGACGGCGGGTGGAGCCCGAGCTGAGCAGGATCTTGCAGAGGGCCTCGCTCGGACTCAAGCTTTTGACAACGACGTAGGTTTCGTGGAGAACCTGTCGAAGCGCCAGTATTGGGAGGAGGGGAAGGAGAATGACATCGAGCATCTTGGGGTAATGTGTGATCCCGCCGACTCCGACAAACCGATCAGGCCTCGAGGAGGCTGGAAAAAGCTCGAGGTGGCCGTGGGTGTGCTGAAGGCGTTCCCTGGGGCTGCTGCCGTTCGGGAAAGACTTGCTGCGGCCTACGTGAGGCCCTTGTGGCTATGGGCGACCCCCCTGGTCGAGCCAGTGCCCCGATGGGCCCCAAGGGCCCTCTTTCACGCCATGCTGAGAACTGCAAATACGTGGTGGTGCTCGGGCCGCTGGCGGGCCCAGAGAGTACAACTTCATCCATTATATTCGCCGTGTCTCCAGATCATGAAATCCGTCCGCTCCGAGAACCTGATCCAGAGTGAGTTCTTGAGGAAGGCCCTTGTGGCCCATTTTGCACAAATACACCTTGAGTATATCGACCACAACGCTGAATGAGGAGTTTGTCTTCGGGTCCCTCCTGGTGCTGGCCCTCGAGTGCTCCGTGTGACTGCCCAAGTACGTGACCCCCAGGATAAGTTCTGGACTGAGGCCCCAGGTGGGGCCCATGCTGTACGTGCCGTGGCTCGAGTGGCTTGTCTGCGTGCAGTACATCTTTCGAGAAAAGACGTTGAGGGCATCGAGGATGTTGATGTCGATCTGAGTAGCAGCCAGGTATTCAAGAAATACATCAAAAGCTTGAGTGCGGATGAATTGCATAGTGTGACGATTTTTCGGAGCGGTGCAGGGCAGACGTACACCAGAATGCAGGTGAACAAATGTTGTAAGTGGTGCAGCTGCCCGCTCCCCGCGGCCTAAAAAAAAAAAAAAAAAAACCAAAAAAAAAAAAAGAAAAAAAAAAAAAAACGCCACCTTTTCCCAGGAGTGCCCGCAATTTCGGGATATGAGGAAGGAAAAAAAAAAAAAAAAAAA